GCACTGCTGTAGGCTGTATAGACAAGTACCGATAATTCTCGATCAGATACTGAGATCACTGTGAATTTGGAGACTCTTTTGGTGTTGTAAGCCTGAGAACTCGCGGGAGCAGCTGGTGGCTCTCCAGGCCTCGACCTGTGAATCCCAGGTGATTTCCTCTCTCTTCGCCCCTCTGGGGCTCCAGGAATGGTTTCCAGGGTACGTCCCTCCTCTCCTCTCCAAGAACTTCCTCCACGGACACACACACACACTGGTCACAGGGTCACCCCACCCAGACCCTCTGTGTGTCTTACCCTGATCTCACTGGGCTTTACTGCACTGTACTGTGCCTTTACCCTGATCTGTGATTTACTGCACTGCACTGTGCTTTTACCCTGATCTCACTGTGATTTACTGCACTGTACTGTGCTTTTACCCTGATCTCACTGTGATTTACTGCACTGTACTGTGCTTTTACCCTGATCTCACTGCGATTTACTGCACTGTACTGCGCCTTTACCCCGCTCTCACTGTGATTTACCGCGCCGATCTCCTAGAAAAGCACGGAAAGTATCGAGTCCCAGGAGGTGTCTCGCGCAGGCACGGTGCCGAAGTTCACCCCGGGGCGGGCAGCTCGCGATCACCTGCGGCCCTTCGCCTTCCGGGCCCTCTCGACCGCTTCCCCGCCGGCCTGCTAGGAAGCTCGGGTCCGGAGTCTCATCGTGCGGGCTTTTTTTTTCTTACAGCCGCTATTACTGGAGAAACAGCACGAGAATTCGGGGGAAGTGAAGGGACCGGAAGCGCGAGCCGGCGCGGGGCGGCGCCGAAGGGGTTACAGCTCCGGGCTGAAGTTCTCAGCAGCCGGCGAGGGAAACCCCCGCTCGGTGCACTTCCTAGTTTGTGTGTCTGTGTGTTTCTGTGTGTGTGTGTGAGAGAGAGAGCGCTGTCGCTCAGCTGCGCCCGTGTCTCCGCGCACTCGCTCGCTGACAGCGCCGACGGCTGGCGAACCCGAGACCCGCTCCGCTCGGCACCGACTCCAGCCCCGGTCCCGGACCTCCGCCGCCGGCCTTTCCTCGGGAGTTTTTTCTGCCTCCACCCCCCCCCCCGTCTCCCTCTCCCTCTCCCCGACTCTGCGCGCTGCAGGAGGACCGGAGAACCGATTCTGCTGGTTTGTGAGGAATCGGTGTCTTATTTTTGCCGATTGCTCCGCTGTGCACCAGCCTCACGCCTCCTCGGGATTCCTCTGCTCCGAGCCCACGGGATCACCCCCGGACCCCCGACCCCGCTGCTGCAGGAGCGCCCCCGACGAGGTTGGGGTTCGGGTCCGGGTCCGGGTCCAGTTCTGGGCGGGGGGGGGCAGCTCTCTGCTTGGCGTGCGTGGCTCCGGTTCTGTGGTTCCGAGCCGGGGTGCGATGTGCCTGAGGCGCCCCACAGCCTGAGAGTCCGTGGCGGCTCGGATCTGCACCCCAGCCCCGGCCCGAACCCGGGCTCTGCAGGATGGAGCGGGGCGGCGCCGGACCCCTGGACCTGAGCACCTCCGCGCGCAGGCGCCCCGCGGCAGAGGAGGGGGGGGCGGCCGCAGGACGGGGCTGTAACGGGCATCACGGCCCCCCGAGCCCCCCCAGGCCCGGCCCGGA